TCATCTCAGCGCCCACCAGCAAGCGCTGGCGGAGCAGGGTGACCCCAATCCCAGTGGCCACAGCATCCAAGCAAGAAGTAGAAGTGCTCCGGACAACGGGACACCCTTGTTCCTGTCACCCTGCTTCCCTCCCCAGCCACAGCAGGGATGCCCGCAGGCGAGCGTGGGAGGAGGGCTGGGTCTAGTCAGGGCTGCTTTGATGCAGACCTAAAATTTCCGTGCTGCGATGGGGAAACCGCTTCAAAGGTGAACGCAATAGAAGCATCATCTATGTAGGTAGCGCATAACTGCCCCCACGCTGTCACCCAAGCCACGGGGCGAAGGCCAGCATGCGGCTGGCTCCCACCTCCAGCCTGGTTGAGCAGTGCTTGGTGCTGACTGCAGGAACACGAAGAGCAGCAAGGTGAGAAGGGTGCTGGGGACCTTGGGAGAACGTCAGGGACAACAGAAAGGCCAGGGGTGCAGGACAGAGGATGCAAGAAGCAGAGAGGGAAGAGTTTAAGCCTAAAGTTTCAGCACTGCGTGGAGCAGGAAGAACTGGCAGCTTCCATCCCCCTGTCAAAGCGGGGCAGCCGGTCTCAGCCACCTGCACCCACAGGGGACATCACAGCATGCCCAGTGCTCACCGTTACTCGCCAACGCTGTTGCACAGTGACTCCTTCTCCTGCAGAGCTGCCATGGCCAGGCGCAGGTGCTCCTTCAGCTGCTCGATCTCTCGCTCCGAGCGCACCTTAATGTGATTCAGCTCTGCATAGACGTCTTGGTATTTCCCTGAGGCAAATCTCTTATCCTGCCGGGGGGGGAGAAGGGTCAGCAGGTTTTAGGGCTGATATTAGGGAGGGGGGCGGCAAGGCGAGCCCAGCAGGAGAAGGACCAGCAGGTCAGGAGGGGAGAGCCAGCCCCAGGTTTGAAGGCCATCCCAATCTGGGCCACGCAGAAACTATTCAGAAGAGGAGCGTGGAGGTAGTGCTTCCCAAGCCCCCGGCCGGGGAGCAAGGCAGAGTCGCTGGTCCTGCAGCAGTGGGGATCTGCAGCATCACTGAGGTGATGTGGGCTTTACCATGGCTCATGTGTGTTTAGGCTAGCTGTATGGGAAAAATAAACCCCACCAGAGATGCAGGCCACTGAAAGGGCCAGTCCCAGCCACTTATATGGCAAAAAGCTTAAGTGAGAAAGTTACAAACTCCTGAAGCATCACTGAATCCCAAAGCCACTTTCAGGTTCCCCTTTGGCAGGGGTCTTTGAAAATCCCTCTGAAGGAGCTGCTGCCAGTGGAGGGAGCAGCACACCCAGCAACGGTGCCCAAGGAAACACGTCCACCCAGCCAGGGGACAACTAGGGGAAGAGAAGGTGGTTGAGGAAGTGGACTCTTGGGCAGGCTTCATCCAGGCTTCCCACCTGGGAAAGAAGGGCTCCTGGCTTGTCCATGCTTATATGTACATACATGTGGGGAAACCAGCAGCAAGGTCTCTGTGACATTTCCCCTGAACAAGGTAAGTCAACGCCAGCTCGTGCTGTTTGGAGCACGTGGCTGCTATGTGCTTGGGAGCGAGCAGGGACGAGAAGCACAGGTGACAAGAGGATTTGGCCGGAGCATCCCACCAAACCCAGCTGAACCCTGCTGACATGCAGCCCTGGTGCTCTCCTCTCTCCCCTCTCCTGCTGCCTTCCCAATGCCTCCCAGAAAACACTGACCTTTTGCATCATCTGCAGCTCCTCCCGGAGGCACTGCACCTCTTTCTTTAGGTACTGGAGCTCGTTCTCCTTCACCCGCAGCAGCACCTGGGCCGGGCAGGGGGGAGAGGAACCAGAGGTGACTCAAGAGCCACGGCCTTGGAAAGGCCAGCGGGCCCCGGCGCAAGCGCGGCAGTGGAAAAGGAAGGAAGGGCCAGGAGGGCCAGGGCAGGAAGCGGCAGGAGCGCCCCGGGAGAGCGGCGGAGGGGAAGCTTGCATGCCTCCTTCCTGCACCGGCCCCGCTGCTCCATCCGGCACCCCCCTCCCACCTGCTCCAAGCCAAAACTGTCATGAGGAAGAGACCCCCGGCAGGGGATGGGGATGGAGGCAGCGGGGCAGCCCAGGGGCACCCCCGTACCTCAAGCTCGCAGGAACTCCGCTCGTTGTTGTGCGGAGAGCGGTCCCCAGAGCCCCGCGATGAAATAAAGCTTCGCAGCTTCCCAATCTCATCTGAGAGGCGGGGCTGCAGCTCCTGCGGGAAAAAACGAAAGATGTCAGGGTAGCCAGGGCATGGGCCTCTCTGCTGTCCTGACCCCTCCATCTTCATGCCAGCCCTGCCTCAGCTTAGAGGCCTCCTTGTAGTCCCCTGGTCATACGTGCCAGTGGCACCTACAACCAGCAGCAAAGAACACACTTGCCATATTTAACGCCACAGTTAAGACAGGCCCATCTACAGCCTTAACTGAATTTTTTTTTCTTTCTGATGATAAAATCTTAGAAGGGAAGAAATATGAACAAATAGGGGAGTTTTAACAGAGGGGCTGTGCCGTGTGAGGGAGGAATGTGCTCCATGGTTTCTGCTGGCAAGGAAAGCCCCTCTCTTGCCTGGTTTTTCCGGAGGAGCTCCTTCCCCTCCTGCTGACAGCGCAGCAGCGTCTGCTCCCGCTCCTCTGCCTTCTGGGTGAGCTCCCCGATTTCCAGGCACTTTTGGGAGTACTGTTCGGAAAGCACCTGCAGCTCCCGCTTCAGGGAATCCACATCCAACCTGTCAAAGACGCACCAGCTCATCACTGCCCCACAATCCTCGCCGGCCCCGGCCATGGCATCGCCTTCCCCCCTACTGCCCACATCAGTCAGTGGCACAAAATAATGTCCCCTGTGGACCAAGGCTTCAGTTCCCACCCTCCCACACATGAGTGTGGTGCTTCTAGGAGCTTCAAGCCATGCAGGAGAAATGGAGGAGCTTTCCGTAAAGAGAACAGAAGAAAGAAGCTATAGGGAAAACAGAGGTGCTATAGGGAAAACAGCCAAGCATGGGATAAACCTCCCTGCTCTGCAGCTCCAGCAGCCCTGGCAGTCACCACTGGGCACCCACTCCTGCCCCCGGGGAGGGAGCTGGGGAGGCGGCGGGGGGACAGCTGGGGGCTACATCATCATCCCATCCCAGTCACCATCCCTGGAAGTATTTAAAAGACGTGTAGATGAGGCGCTGAGGGACATGGTTTAGTGGGCATGGTGGTGTTGGGTTAACGGTTGGACTTGACGATCTTAGAGGTCTTTTCCAACCTTAATGATTCTATGATTCTACAGCCACAGATGGGGTGTGGTGACGCTGGCACAGGGCAGCAGCATCCAGCAAGGGCAGCGGGAGAGGTGGTTTCTTACTGGTGCTGCTTCTGGAGGGCATCTGAAACCGAGCCGCACTGCTGGAAGCTTCGTGTCCTGCCCAGCTCCTTATTCATCTCCTCCCGGTGGGCTTTCTTCAGTGCCTCGATGGCTGCAGAGGGGCACAACGGGAGATGGGGAATCAGGCTGTGCCAGCTCCGGCACATCTGGGGGAAACTAAGCCAGGGAACCACCCCAACTCTTGCTGCTGGAGGCTCCCAGACCCTATCTTTGCAGGTTCCCTCTCCATCCCTTCTGCCCTTGGGGCATCCCCCACCTTCTCCATGCCCCACAATCATCCTGATGCACCAAGCGCTGCCAAGGAGACTAACCCAGGGCAGTGTGTGAGCTCGCTGCCACTCTGCCAGTCCTGCCTGCCTACAAGAAGGTGCTGAGCATCAGCATCACACCTGTAGGGTCAGCAGTTTGGCTCCAGATGACTGGGATGACTGGTTTCTCGCAAGAGACATTTGGGAGAGGCGGGAGGGACCCATCTGAGCAAGGGCACGGCTTGGTGTCCGCTCCTACCTGCTGCCGTCGCCGCAGCCTCCTCTGCCAGGAGCCGCTCCTTCTCCTGCCGCAGCCGCTCCAGCTCCCGCTGGTGGTGCCTCTGGAGCTCCTCCATCACTTGCTGGTGGGACGACTCCATCTCGGCCAGGCTGCGCTCGCAGGCCTCCTGCCGTGCCGGGGAAAGGAAGGGTGAGGGACTCAAAGGTCCCAAGTGTGCAGGGGCTTGGGCCAGGACAGGCACCTGGCCGGGCTGACATTTGGTTTTGCAAACCTCACCCAAGATCAGGGCTATTTTGAGAGAAGCAAGACCACTTCAGAAGGAAAAGACCATCCTGGGAAAGTGAGGTGGCACTTTTATCACTGAGCACAACTGTTTGACAGGGTCATGCATCTTGCAACACCCCCGTGCTTTGCACAGGAAGAAATGTTCCTCCTGCTCTGCTTAAAAATGAAGCAGCAAGACAGGAACATCCCTCTTGGGCCAAGAGCTGGGAATAATGCGCCCAACACCGCAGCCCAGACCCTTCCACCAGGCTGCACTTCCTGGCTGGAGGAGATCAACAGCAGGAACCGCATCTCGGTATCTGCCTTTTAAATGAAGCAGCATCGCCCAGAATCAATGAAAACTGAGCCTCTTCTGAAAAGTGACACCCTGTACTGCCCTGCGGTCTGATGGAGGCTGCCAAAGAGCCCTCCCCAAAGCCTAATGGTTAGGGAAACTCCTCACTCAGCTCGCCCTCCTTTCTGACGGCTCTGAGACCAAGGGGAGGGTTCTTTCAACACCAAGCGCTGCGGTTAACTGGTGTTACAGCAAAGCAAAGCGGTTCCCACCTCAGAGCTACGCCTCTGCTCTCCCTCCAGACGCTGGCAGCACTGCCCCAAGCCCCTCAGGAAGGATTTGTTCACCACCAAACCATGCCAGAGTATTATTTCAAATAGCCAGGGCCTCTAAGCCAGCAGCAGAGAGCCAGGAAGCCATCGTGTCCCCCGACAGCCCCTTGCCATCCCATTCCTTCCCCCAGTGCTAAGGCGAAGGCTGATACAAAGGGCGCTGCAACATGCTGCAGGAATGAA